GCTAAGGTGTCACACCCATGACTTTAGCAAATGGCTGTACAACCACATCCTTAGTGTTCCTTTCAAAACAATCTTTCTTATTTTCTTCAATAAAATCAGCTGAGAGTTTTTCAAATCTTCAGGTTCTGGTTCCTTTATGCTTACAATACTTCCTCAAATCATGTCTTTCCTTTTACATTTTACTATAAGTAGTTAGGAAGAACCAAGGCACAATTTTGACATTTAGCTTAGAGATCTTTTCACCTACATAACCACATTCATCACTTCCAAGTTCTCCCACCAAACATTAGAACACAGATTAAATTTACTTCATAACATGGATGATATTGCCTCTATTTTCCAAAAACATGTTCTCCATTTCTACCTGAGAACTTATGAAAATTCCACTTACCACCCATATTTCTAGTATGTATCTCAAAACTCTTCTAGTCCATACCTATTACTCTGTTTGAAAGGCATGCTGTTTTTTTAGGTATTTATTATATCAGTGCTTTGCTTCTCAGTGCCAAAATCTGTCTTTGCCTGGTCAGGCTGTCATAATAAAATACCAGAGACTGGCTCGTTTAAACAACAGAAATTTATTTTTTCACAGGTCTGAAGCAGGAAAGTCTAAAACCAAGATGTCAGGACAATTTGATTCCTGGTGAGGGCTCTCTTCCTGACTTGTGGGGCTAATTTCTCACTGTGTCCTCACATGGTCTTTCTTCAGTGTGTGCATGGAAGGAGAGATTGCTCTCTTTTCCTCTTCTTTAAGACCACCAATCCTATCAAATTAGGACCCTTGTAACCTCATTTAACCTTAATAATCCCCCAAAGCTCTAACTCCAAATAAAGTTACATCAGGAGTTGAGGCTTCAACCAACATATGAAATTTAGGGGAGACATAATTCAAATTTATAGTGAGTAGTAAATTTTATATTATGTATTTTGTACCACAATCCTAAAAACAAGCTGGAAATGAATACAGAATGTCAGAAGACATAAACAATCAGGAGAAAACACATGACAAAAACATAAAAACTTGACAAAGTAACAGATACATCCATAAAGAGAATACTATCCAGCTAAACAAAGAAATAAGGTAATGAGCCATGGACAGACACATAGACATACTTAAAACAAACAAACAAACATGGAGAGGCCTTAAATCCACACTGATAAGTAAAAGAAGCCAATTTGAAAAAGCTACATGTTGTATGATTCCAACTATATAATTTTTTGAAACTGGCAAAATTACAAAGACAGTAAAAAGATCACTGGTTGCCAGGTGTCTGGGGGTG